GCCCAGCCTGGCACACACACCCCCACCTCCAGGCCTAGCCTGGCACCCCCCCATCTCCAGGTCCAGCCTGGCACCCCCCAATCTCCAGGTCCAGCCTGGCACCCCACCCCCATCTCCAGGTCCAGCCAGGCCCTCGGAGGCACCCTCATCCCAAGTCCATGTGGCCACTGCTTACCCTGCCCCGTGCTGCAGGGTGGAGTGGGCGCAGGCACGCCAGGCCTTCTTTAGCTCTGGAAAGAACAAGGCTGCCTTGGAGGCCATCGAGCGTGCCGCTTTCTTCGTGGCCCTGGATGAGGAGTCCTACCGCTATGACCCCGAAGATGAGGCCAGCCTCAGCCTCTATGGCAAGGCCCTGCTACATGGCAACTGCTACAACAGGTGCGGCTGCCCCCGCCCCACAGGTCACAGCTTAGGGTTAAAGGTTAGGGTTATGGTTAGAGGATTGAAGATAAAAGGTAGGTTGTGAGCTGGGTGCGGTGGCACACACCTGTGATCCTAGCACTTTGGGAGGCCGAGGCGGGTGGATCACTTGAGCACAGGAGCTCAAGACCAGCCTCGGCAATGTAGCAAGACCCTTTCTTAAAAGTAGTTAGGATTGTGATTAGTGGTTAGGTAGGGATAGTGGTTAGGGTTAAAGGTTAGGGTTTGGGTTAGAGAGTAGGGTTAGAAGCCGGGCATGGTGGCAGGCACCTGTAATCCCAGCTAGTCGGGAGGCTGAGGCAGGAGAATCCCTTGAACCCGGGTGGTTACAGGGAGTCAAGATTACACCACTGCACTCCAGCCTGGGCAACAGAGCAAGACCCCATCTCAATTAAAAAAAGAGAGAGAGAGAGAGAAGAGAGAGAATAGGGTTGGTGTTAGGGTTAGGGTTAGGGTAACATCCGAGTTAGGGTTAAAGGTTGGGGTTGCAGGTCAGGCTCCTCTGGACATTCCCAGCTTTGGTTCTTCATGTGTCTACTCTCCCCACAGGTGGTTTGACAAATCCTTCACTCTTATTTCCTTCAAGAATGGCCAGCTAGGTCTCAATGCAGAGCATGCGTGGGCAGATGCTCCCATCATTGGGCACCTCTGGGAGGTAATAGCCTTGCAGAGGGAACCTGCAGGGCAGGCTGGAGGGGATGAGGCCGGCCTCTCAGCCTCATCCTCTCCCTGCAGTTTGTCCTGGGCACAGACAGCTTCCACCTGGGCTACACGGAGACTGGGCACTGCCTGGGCAAACCGAACCCTGCGCTCCCACCTCCTACGCGGCTGCAGTGGGACATTCCAAAACAGGTGGGTTGGAAGCTCCCAGAGCAGATGTGAGACCACAAAGCAGCGGGCGGGTACAACCCCAACAAGGCCTGAGTCCCCCTGCTCCTCCTCCTCCCCCCCTGCTGGCCCCACCGCCTGACCCAGCCCTCGGGAAGGCACAGGGCACATCTCAGGATACCCGTAGAGTCCAAACTGGCTTCAGGGAGGACAGAGACCACCTACAGCCCGTGGGGCCATCTGTGTTTAGAGAAGGCCATGAGATGGGGGCGGCACTCACAGGCCCCTGGAGCATTTTCAGCACTTCCCTCTTCCCCACAAAGCTCAGCCCAGCCTCTGGGGGCTGATTCTCCCTCAGATTGTCTTTTGCATACCCTCCTCCTGAAGATGTCTTGGCCAGCTGTGCCCTTCCTCCACCAGCTAAATGTCATGCCTCCTAGACGTGACCCAGAGTCCTGCTTGGAGAGCCCTGCC